TAAAATTATGTATTATATATTATATATAATTATCTAAAAAGAACACAAAAAAATTAAAGGAATAATTTAAAATATATTCTGCAAAACATAAGTTACTTTGCTGAAATTAATTAATCAAATGAAAAGAAGGAAAATAATTAGAAAATAATAAAATATATTGTCGTCTACTATTGACTTTTTCTCTATATAAATGATTGATGTTTACGATTTTTATTTGCCTTCTAGTTTTCTAGATGGCAAGTTTTAGAAAATCAAGGTTCTTAGCTTTTTAACTGTATATGGTTGCAGTTTGGGGTGAACAGGAAATGAAGATATTTTTAAAAATGGCTTTTTTAATATATACCTTAAGAGTGTAATTTAAGAATATTTTTTTTTTCATAAATATATATAAAAAATGTAAAAGTTGATTTTAATTTTAGTATTGGTGTCAAATAAATAAATTTAATTAAATAGTTAATAAATTAAAAGTTAACATTTTTTATTTTTTTAATAGAAATTAATCACAAAAAAGATGTATTTATTACATCACAAGTTAAAAAAAAAACCTTTAAAAAATCACAAGTGGAATGAGAACAAAGTATATTTGAGATGATTCAAGAAAGATCTTTTATTTCATTAAAAGATAGGCTTTAAGGTGTATCATTTTCTTTTTGTGACTGATATCAATTCTCAATTTTTGATTCCTAGTATTGTTTGTTTAAGAAATAACTTATGTTAGATTGTATCATATTAATTATGAACTTATGTACATAAGTGTTGGAGGGTCGCTTGCACTCCCAATAATAATAATTTTTTTTGAAAAAAATTGAAACAAATATGATAATTGAGATTTGAAAATATTCTCATTTCATAATTTTTGGTTCAAAGTTACTTTCATTTAATTTTAAATAATTTAAAGCATGATCAATATGTATTAAAGAACAAAAAAAGTTCAACATGTTGATCAACTTGTGAACCACTAGGGTCGGCATTTATTAACCTGCAACCCTTATATGATCCAAACTCACAAAACCTATGATCCAAATAAATCCAAACTTACCCATTTGCCACCTTGAACTAGAAATGTGTCTAAAAGTATACTAATTCTCTTTCAAATCCAAATCCATAATTGATGGAAGAGGGTGTTTAGTAAGTACTCTACCAGGTACAATTTGAGATTAATGATTAGCAAAAATGTTATGGCAAGGTGGCAGTGTGGCACTAATTATAACATTCCAATCATGATATAATTATTATATTAACTCTTTTTTATTGGGTGGTCAAATATGATATTATATACATTTAATTATTTAATGTCAAATTTTCATTGTAAACTATATGCACCATTGTAATTGTTAGTGGTTTAAATAAATTAATCAAAATAAATTTCAATTATATTTTTATTATCTGTTACATTTAAACTATTAATTCAAATATTATAATGGTGAAAATGTTCACAATAGTCATGAATGAAAATCAAAATCTATATTTAGTAATATTTTAAGAAATTTTATATGTAGTTTTATTAATTAAATAAGATGTATATATTTTGGTAAAATGAAAGTTCATAAATTTAGCACAATTATGATTGATAAGTGGAATTAAAGGAAATTAACTTAATTTATCTTTTAAAATTTTCTCTAAAAGATAGAAAAAGAAACCCTCTTTAACCTTACTCAACCTTTTATTCTAAACTTTATTTGTCTATTTGATTTGAGAGGAGCAAATGAGAGAAAAAAGAAATTTCCCTATTTAAGTTAAAAAAAAATTGAAGGGGAGGTGAGAAGAGATGAGAGAAATGATAGAAAAATGATATCCTTCTATTTCTCTCCCATCCTCTATGCCATCCCTCCGTTTCTCTCAAATCAAAAAGAGGCTATGAATTTCCATATTGCCAACAAAAAAAAAACCTACTAACTAATATATAATTTTCTTAGTTAAATTACACGAACTACATCTTCAACCCAACGGATCCATCCATCATCATCAACTCGGGACTCAACCTGAACATGAGAATGCAAAACTCCACCTGATTCAACGCTCCATCTCCATCCAAATCCCCTTCACTCAACATACACACGATCTCATCATCCCCCATGTCATGCAGCCCTAGGAGGACGCTGTTCCTCCTCAGGCTCTCGAACGTGATTAATCCCTTATCCCCATCCATCAGGAGCCTGAACCCATTACAAAGTTCCCCAATGAACCCTTCCGCACCCAACCTCAACATCATGGACGGGAAAAAGTCCTCGAAATCAACCGCGATGTCTAACTCCATTGTCATTGTAACTTGAGAACGAAGCAAGGTGAATAGGAGAGGTGGAGGGGAAAGGAGGAGGATGAAGGGATTATATAAGGGTTGTAAGTGGGGAGAGGGCCGGAGGGGATAGAGTTTTCAAGGAAGGAGAGGCCATTGAAGACAATTGGATGTACAGATAATGAGATAAGTATTGTGGTGGTAAAGTGAGCTTCTTGCACCTTTCATGTGTGTGAACAATTTCGCTACTTCCTGGAAGCTGCATGGGATCTTAAAAAGGGATCTCAAAAGACAGGTTAAATCATTGACACGTATCAGTCGGGTTTTTTTCTGTTTTTGGCAGAGACATGTCACTCGGATTTGAAAATAACAAATCTTTAAAAAATAAAAGATAAGTTACGAAACAATATTTGTTTTTTGGTGGAACCTAATAAAATAGAAATAATTAAATTTATATTGCTTTTTCAAAAGGAAAATTTTGAGGGGTCGAGAGGTCCCCATTTGATAGATTTTCTCTTTTATTTTCTCTTCTTTTTCTGGGTTCTTCCTCAAGTTGATGTCGCTGGAGGGCTTCCATCGGGTTACCATCATCACTTGATCATTATCTGTTGAGCTTAACTGTTGAAAAGACGTTCTTAAAAGAAAATTTTTTAAAATTTTAACTAAAAATTGAAGAATTTTTATATGAATTAAAATCAAGTTATTTAAAAAAAAAAAAAGAACTTCTTTTAATATTTTAAAAAGTCTCATAAATTATAGAATCTTGTAATTTATTATTATTTTTTTTGAAATGATGAATAGAATCTTCAATCTTTGTTTTAAGTAGATAAAGAGAATTTCATACTTGAACTTTTTTTTTTTTGAAGGATGAATGGATTTAAAAGAGAATAAAAGACAACCTTGGTTCCCAAAAAGAGGGACATGACTTATTTGAAATTTGATTAAAGAAAAGGAAAGAAAAGAAAGAAGAAGCAGAAGAAGAATGGGAGGAACCGTTTTGCTTGAAATTTGATTCCTTTTCCTTCTGGCTCCATCTCAAGACAAGGAAGTTTCAGGGTAACTTCCTATAATTTTCATCAGGTACATATATTTACTCCAGTACAACCAAAAAAACATTAAGAATATGTAGTCACAATTGTTTTTTATATAAAACATACAAGCTGTAAAGTTTACTCTCCAATTGTTACTTGTTCCTTTTTTACACGTTTTTCACAAGCTCCATGAAGGTAGGTATAGATTACATTTATCTATTTTTATCTTATTTTTGAAAGATAATGATATTTTTTTATCTAAAAAATAATAATAAATCTAAAAAAAAAAGATGAATAATATATGCATGCATAAAATTTATATATAATTATATATAAGTATTTTCTAAGAGTTAATAATAAAAAATTAGTATATATCAATCTCAACTCTAAAAAAGAATTAAAATCTCAATTTATATTTAAAAA